TCTTTTGTCTGTGTGTGTAGTTGTGTGTGTGTGTTCCATGTCAGAGTTGTGTGTGGGTAGTGAGATGTCCTGGGCAGATGGCTACTGTCCCTCTGGGCGATCTACTAGAGACCCAGTGGAACAGAGTGATTCTGTACCATCTGGACCACACAGCACACAGGAGAGACCAAAAGCAGCAATGTCACTGACAAGGGCTTCGTATTTACAACGGTCTCCAGGCGTAGTACAAATATATTTCTGTCATGACAACTCTCAGAGGGATTGGCATGGTAATGTACATGACAATGTTAATGTATTTGGTCTTGGCGGAATAGATCTGCTACGCTGCTGCTACTGAGCAAGTACCGAGACTTGCTACTGCCAATACATCCACAACATGCTGCTGTGAGCATGTAAGAAATATTGCTGCTGCAAATATAACATACATGAAATAACCCCCATATAGCATGCATGAATCACCTCCTAGCAGATCTATGGTGGAGCTGGGGAAGGTGGAGGGTTTCTGAAGCAAGCTGCAACTGCTACAGCAAGCACTAGTCATATATTTGAATGTTGAGCAGCGAGCTCATTGGCTACCATGTCATTAGGTCCGATTGAGTTAGACCTACCAGACTGCGCAATCTAGAGTTTCATGCCAGAACTCTGTATTGCAATGGGAAGAAACATTCATATTCAGACCTCGTAGATCTTTTTAATGAACCACATTGCATAATGTCATCAACATCATGTTCTCCGACTCATAGAAACACGAAGGATGCGAAATGTAGGAAGGAAAATGGCATAATATATAAGACTCGAATATCTCAAATTAAGTTTATTTTTCTTACACCACTGGCAAATAGTTTTTCCCTTGTTTTATGCATAAATCTAACAACACTACTGTTTGAAAGTTTGTTGTTTTTGAAATAAATAATAGTTTATTCCTGTGATGATAAAGCTGGCATTTCAGCAATCATTACTCCAGACTTCAGTGTCACGTGCTCCTTCAGAAATCATTCACATATGCTAATTTGATGCTCAAGAAATATTTCTTATTATCATCAATGTTAAAAACAATAGTGCCGCTTGATATTTTTTGTTCAGGATTCAATGAATAGAAAGTTCAAAAAGCAGCATTTTTATAAAACTTTTGTAACATTATAAATGTCTTACTGTCAATTTTATGCGTCCTTGATATTAATTCTTTACAAAAGCTTAAACCTTTGAGCAGTAGTGCATATTTAGTCAAGTTTACACATAAAACAAGAAAAAGCCATTTGCCAAAAGGCTAACATTATTTTACACAACTTAAATTGATCAAAGTAAATTGATCTTGTTTTTAGAATGTTTAGATCTTACATATTGTTTTATCAATTTGCTTTTTACATTTCAAACAATTCCTGATGGACCAAGTCAAATAAATGGATCACATTATAGGTTATGAGAGATAAGATGCTCTGATAAGTTTCCTCTTTCTCATGAAGTGTAGCTTTCAATGTTGCTAAAGCTTCTCATTCCAGTGAATGTGTTTATTCAGGTTCACATCACACTCTGGGCTCCAGACAGGACTGTGTCGGTAAATGCGGGTGACGGTTATCTAATTAGACACACCCTTTTTCTTCATTCATTCATCTTCAGCTCAGCATCATCTCTCTATCTCTCTTCCTCCGAGCAAACCAGGACGGATCGATAGAGCTTCTCGCTTCCATTAGTCTCCATGCAGGTTAATGCTGCATTAAAACATGCGCATCGTATCGCGGCTGCTTCTTTTTTTTGGATGGGGGAACTTCCTCTGTCGCTGGCTATCATTCTTTTATCAGTATCCATTCATCATAGTTCATGAAGAATTCATCCTCATCATGGTCATCTCTGCAAATGAAATGAAGGGTGTGCGCGTGCATTCGGTTTCACTGTCAGTTCTCCCCGTTTCTTTTACCGTCTCTTCTTACATGTTTTATTTTCCCCAGCATCACGTCTCTGCAATCTCCTCCTACTTCCTTTCGCTCTCCTGCAACCTCATTTCTGCCTCTCCTTTCTAGAGCCCTACATCCTTCATTTACTTTAAAACAGACACTCTCCTCATTCTAAAGCTCCATCCTCTAATCCTGTTAGAAGGATGGGCTTTGATCTCCTGTGAGTGATCATGTTTCTGGTGTGAAGAGAGAGAGTGGAAGTGAGAAAGAGTGCCACACTGATTAAAGAGGAATATGCATCGGTGTTGACGTTCCTTCACTACCTGCATCTGAAGTGACTACACTATTGGGACAGAGAAGTTACGATCATTTAATGCAGGCTATAAATCAAAGCCAGAGCTGCTTGGGAAGCACTGAGGAATACAATAAAAAATGTGATCGAAAAACTGTAACTCACAATTATAAGCGATATAAAATACTTGATGTTGCATTTGTGACCAAAATTATCACACTGGGATGGGAAACCGTGCTTTCTAATAGTTGTTTGAAATATGTGTATTAATATTACAATATAATGATTATATATAGTGATCATTTAATGATGTAAGACATTCAAGCAGACATTATAAAAGCATTAGCATTCCTTCAGTGAATATAGGTTGTTGTATACAATACACAGACTAATATGAATCCATCATGTGTCCAGCTTAAATTGATTTAATTCTTGCCTTACACGGCTCAGTGTTCTGTGAAACCTACAAATGAATTCTTGCGGTAAATGTCTGTATGGAATAAAGTAAGCCTTAAGATGCAGCAGCTTATGTGTTCGCTTGTGCTCATTAGAGTGAAGATGGGAGAAATCCAAGTCAGACAGCCAGGAGGTTGTTTAATACAAGAAACACACCAACTATTACTGCCGTTAGATATTTCTTTTTTATTTAGGCACCAATAATCAATAACGCAGAGACGATGCTCTCTCACGTACAAATGCTATTCAGGGCTTAGTTTAGCTAAAGCCACAAACAGACAAGTTTAACTATCACAGTGGCAGGGAACTCTTCAGGACTGGAAATGCTACCAGACACTTCTGTCATGAACCACAAAGAATGTGTCAAGTGAAACCGATTCGAATGTTTTCAAATGTCAATCATTAAACAATCAATCACTTCAAATATAATAAGACCACATTTTAAACAAAACATTTCTTTTCATTCTCTTTTTGAGTCAGGAGCAATCCATCAAAGACACGTTCTACAACGAAGACACTTAAGGGGTAATTTCAACAAGACAAGCAGCATTTGTCTAATGACTGTTAAGATCAACATTATTGACTTTAGGTTATCTAGAATATGAATTCAACTGTGAAAGACAAACTGAAATGGTGCTTTGGGATTTGCTGTTCGCTTTGTGCCAAGAAAGTAATGTTAGTGAACTTTATCAGTTCACTTTACACAGCACTCGTTCAAGTAGATGACTGTTTACAGAACCAACACCAGTCAAAAGTTTGAACACACTTATTCTTTATCATTACTAATGTCCATAATACCATAGTAGTCAACTATGAAATAACACAAACACACTACCAGACTTTCAAGTTGTCCCGAACACAACAAACTGTTTTAAAATCGGCTAAAAATATCAAATATTTGATATACTCCAACTGGACGGAATCATTGTCTGAAGCTAAAAAAAAAAAAAAATGCACCCATTATACACTGTGATTTTCTAAAAATTTGTCAACTTCGACCAGCCAAAATCGGCAGACTGGCTATAACTTTCGGAAACTAAAGTAGACTCTTCCAGACTGCAAAACGGACTAAAATCATGTAGTGTATAGTAGCCTAGATTGCACACTCTGGGCAATCTCTCAACAAAGTAATGAAGAATCCACCTGGGACGTTTTTTTAAACAGTACTGAAGGAGATGCCATGTGTACTGGGCACTTGTTAGCTGCTTTCTTTACTATTCGGTCCCATCATCCATTTTTTGCATTTTAATGAAGTTTTGTAAAAAAAAAAATAAAAATAAAAATAAAAAAGTACACATAGGTGTCATTTATGTACTGTCTAAAAAATGTGTTTTAACATTAACCATTTTAAGCATAGCTTAATTATCAGCCAAAAATGCTGTCAGGTGTGCTCATACCTTTGACTGGTAATGTAGCTGAAGCTGCAGGTTTGCTTAAGACATTTAAGACACTGTAACGGGTAAATATATTTCATTGTTAATTTCTTAAAACAAAACAGCAGGGGGAGTCTTTGTGTAAATATATATTCTCAATTTATATTTCTATATATTTGTAATCTATCTATACAAGTATACATATATAACAATTAGGAGTTTTTTTTTTTTTTAACATTCCTTTACCCTGACAATTTTTTCATGAACAGAAATATGTTTGAATAGACTAATAATATAAATAAATCACCACACATTTCACCATGATTTTTTTTTTTTTTTTTTTTTTTAAATATATAGCATTTCCATCCAAAAATACAACATAGAATACTTTTGAAACATTCATACTAAATTTAACAGTTAAAGATTGGCCAAATTGAGCTATTTTAGGGATATTTTAAATCCTTATTAGTGGACCTGCATGTCTTAGACTGAAGTCAGCAGAGGTTTTCTGGCAGTACTTATTTTAGTTGTGAAATGAGGACTGAAACTGTATGATTATGTATATGTGTTTGTGGAATGTCACTGATAATGTGTTACTTTGAATGTTCTTTGACATGTTATTTCAAGCATGCTAATCATGCCCCATTTGTATTCAGACTATAGCAAATTTTCAATTTGTCTGAGAGGTAACGTGTTTTTGATGAGCCTTTGTTAGTCTGTTTCACTCAACTGAAGCGGTTACTAAACACACTATGTGTCCACGAACCTTGAAAATGATGATTATCATCCTTAGGTCTTCCATTCACTGGCAGTTATATTACATCTGCACCTGGGCCATAGTAATGTTTATTGAATTTATGGTTTGTGAATTTTATTATTTTCTTATGCTTTTATGCATTAAACACATTAAAACGTTAAAGAAAAAAACAAACATAAAACATTGAAGCATTTCAAAACAACATTTGTTATATTAAAAAAACAGTGCAAAACAAAACAACATAAAAAGTTTATTATTAGTTTTTTTTTTTGCATTAACGTCACTGCATCCTGCATGAACCACACAGTCGACACATGGAGCAAATAATAAATTACCCATTTGCAGTTAATTTGGCCCATCAGTAAGCTTGCTCTCCCCTTTGAAGTCCAGGACATCCCATAAAAGGGTGGGATTTTCACAGTTGTGCTGTGCCCTCCAATGCTCAATAACGTCCTGTTTCTTATTAAACACCTTACTGCAAAGGATGCAGTTAAAGTGAGACCCCACCCTCAGGGATATACCTTTATTGAGGCCCCTTAATATGTGGCCCTCCTTACCTATCATCATCTCCTCTTCTTCCTCCTCTTCTTGACTCTCTCTAGCTTCTTGATGGTGAGAATGGAGGTGGCGTTTGAGCTTGGAAAAGGAGAAGAACTCCTCGTCGCAGTGCACTAGGTTGCGTTTCTCATTGAGCTGCCTCCAGTAATGTGCTGCATGTTTGACCAGTTCATCCTCTGCTTCACGGCCCCCACGCATGGCCCCATCCCTCAGTTGCACCTGGACCTCCTCTCCGTGCACGTACAACAAATGCAGCTTCATGTCAGCAAAGGTAGGGGTGATGGCCTGGCAGCGCCCACACTTAATTTGTAGCTCGACTGGGTCAACATGTTGTTCTGAGGCCTGTTCATCAGCTTCTGAAGACCTGCAAGACAAGGAACATCTATGTCAAGAACAAGGCAGCTTTAGGCAGAGTCATCGCTCAATGTTTGTTACTTACTCTTCTACAGACATATTTTCTTCATGTTGACTGATGGACGGTTCAACGGTGAGTATTACCCGGTGCACCTCTCTCAAGTGGCTAAAGTAGACACCCACATAGCCAAATGACTTCTCACAGAATTCACAGCAAAGGCTCTTCCTGGGCCTGCTTTCCGCATGGTGCAGTTTCATATGAGTGCTAAGACTGCCTGAGTGAGCGTAGGCCTTCCTGCATACCGGGCAGACATAAGGCCGCAGGTTACTGTGGCTGTTCATGTGGCTCTGCAAGTGATGCTTAAATTGGAAACACCTGTTGCAGGTAGGACATCGATGCAGAGGACGACTTCCTGTGTAAATCACTCCTCCACCACCTTTACATTCTACCACAGGCTGCTGCTCAGTAGCTTGCGAAGACTGTGGAGCACTCGATTGTTTTCCTGATATCTGCTGTCCTAATAAGAGCTGCTCCTGATCAAGGTTCTCTGATGTTGAAGAGGAAGGAAGTGGAACAAGTTGTGGAATAGTGGTTTCCATTACCAGTACTGGCTTGGGACGAATACTCCGATACTTTTTGGATATATCCAACAACTTCGCTTGAGAGGCAGAATTCGACACACCAACTGGAGGTTTATCAGGCACCCTCCTTCTGAAAAACGACAAGGATCTCTTCTTTCGAGCCTCGAAGGCTAGAATATCCTCCATGGTTTTCCTCTTCCTCCCCCGTTTCTTGCCTGGAGGTTTCTTGATTTGGGTGTTGCTGTGGTCTTGGCTTAGGCTTTCACTTTTAACTTTGCTGTCCGTGGACGTGATTTTGTTGTCTGGAGGGCTTTTCAGGCTGCTTTTGGCTCCACTCACAGTCTGCTTGTCTGAGAATGGGGTGCTGGCAAGGCTGGTTGGTGCCAGGAGGGAGTTCTTCACCTTGGCATAGGGCAAGATGGGCAGCTTGCCCTTGGGTGGAGATGGAATGATCTGAACAGCTTTGCTAAAGACAGTGGGTGAGAGGACTGTGATGGCACTGCCAGCCGAGGCTTGACCCTCTATTTGGGGTTTAACTGGGGAGATTTTCTTGACAGGGGCAGCAAGGGAGGTTCCAGAAGGATAGTGCTGGCTTTTGAGTGGACTGGCATCGCTTTTTTGCTCCACTTTTCGATCTGTCTGTGAACCTGGGAGCAAGGGTGCAACATTGATTTCAGACGAAGTAGGAGCATCAATCAAAACAAGCTGCTCAGATCCTGGGTCTGAACTCTGGTCTGATTTCATAGCAGATGATTGAGCTTGTATGGTTGCAGAAACCTTGGCTGGACTCAGCATCTTGCTACTGCCTTTTTCTGGAGCGCTCTTGCTTCTCACCGGTTGATATCTAGGAATAGGCAGCTTAAGGTTCTTCTGGATTGGCTGTTGCTGTTGTGTCTGAGGTAAGGCCACCAATGAGAAGGTCCCCTCTTGTCCAGCAACCTGCATGAGTGCATAGTTCTGGGCAGGGACAAGGATGGATTTGGGGCTGACAGCTGCGGATGCTTCTGGAAGGGCTGTGGGAGGCTGGCAGGATAGAACTGCAGATGATGGAACCACTACTGGGGCTTTGGGGGCAATGCTGCGAAACTGGAGACCCTTCATTTGGGAGTGGGGACGTGCATCACCTGTCAAAACAAGATAACTCCTAAGAAAAAGTGAACTGAAAAAAAAAAGAGAGGGTCTAACTAATTTTTCATTCTTTCTTACACACTCGCACACCAATTTACCCTGGGGCAAAGAGTTTGAGCCCTCTTTGATTCGAGCTCAGTGTACTGCTCTTGTTCATGCTGCAGCTCACTAAGTCTTATATCTCCTCATGCTTCCTAATGCACACTTACAAACAGAGACAGACACACACACACACACTTGCAGAAGGAATAAACCGCCTTTAAAGCATAACAGCTGCCTAGCAGTAGAATCGTTATTACATGAACAAGAATAACAGTTAAACAACCATACTCAAAACACGTCATGACTGTCCACACAACCTTGTGGCCTTCTGCCTCACAACTGCAGATATAAAAAATAAATATGCTCAGCAATGATAAAAAAAAAAGTACACTTACATTTATTCATTTGGCAGACACATTCATCCATAGTGGCATTTATCAGTTTGCGTTTTCTTTTGGAATCAAACCAAAGACATTGTCACTGCTAGTGTCAAGCTTTACCAGTTAAGCAACAGGAACAAAAGAAGACATACTACATAGTTCTCTATAACTTTTTGACAAAAGAGAGATGGTACAATGTTTGATTGATTAGAATTTAGTATTTAGTAGCAAGTAAAACTAAGTTGACATTATTCGGGGAAAAAAAATTGTAAAGTGTAGCTATAAAGATTGCAGATGAAGATGGAAAAAAAAAAAAAAATATGTCAGCACCCAGTTTTCAGTCTGTAAGCACAACGCAATCCCATAAATTAGGCTGCTATAGAATTAATTAGGTTAAAAACAGAAACATCATAAAGAGTTGGGCATTTATCAGGCCTAGGGAAGAGGACTATATTGCAGATGAAGATGGAAAAAAAAAAAAAAAAAATGATGTTTCAGCACCCAGTTTTCAGTCTGTAAGCACAACGCAATCCCATAAATTAGGCTGCTATAGAATTAATTAGGTTAAAAACAGAAACATCATAAAGAGTTGGGCATTTATCAGGCCTAAAAGGGGAAGATGAGAACAGTTGAACAGGAGGAGAGTACTCTATATTAGGTGCAAGAAATGGGGACTTATTTTTAGCCACAGTGTCATGAAGAAAAATAAGAGCATCACGGACCAATTAGCAGCATGAAAGGTGAGGAGTTCAAAGGTGAGATCTGGTGTTTATGTTAGAAGGGTTACGCTCCGGCCACTACGTATATCTATGCGTACGTCTGTTTTTTGTTGTGAATACCAGAATGCGTTTGTGAGAATGAATTTAGTGTGCAAATGTGTGTTTACACCTCACCCATGCGTAAAGGAATGCAGGCCAGATGTTGGTCAATAGGTCATGGGGACTTACCTAATAGCCTAACAAAATTGTTATCTAATTTTATAGGTTTATTCTAAGTGATTATAGGGAGGGACAGGTACCTAAGTACTTGGAAATGACTTTAAAAGTACATTTCTTTTTCAAACATTTCACAGTGATCTAAATTCAGTGACAGTTACACACAAACATATCAAAAATGGGGGTCATTTTTTTCATTTTGTGACTGGTTACATTTTTGGTAGTTCCTTGTAGTTTGATTCATCAGAAAACAATTAGTGGCAATTAAGTGTCAAGATTTCAGGATGTTTACATACAGTAGAATGCATTCTTCCTCTTAATGGATATAATGAGATAAATGGAACAGAATGTGTTTTTAACTCTTATTAAGCATTAAAATGTCTGTATGACGTATACAAAAATTAGATTTATCTAATTGAATACTACTAAAGCAGACAAAATCTTGGTGACTACAAAAGCGATTATTATTTGACTTTAAAAGATGAGCTTCATAAGACTGCATATTATTATCTCTATACTCACTCTGTGTGTGTGATTTCAGAGGGCTGGAACGGTGCTCTTGGGTTTTCATGTCTGCCACACTGTCACTGAAGATCCTAAACAAAAAAACAAATACAGAGAACAGAACTGAACCTCCACTGTGTAATTAACACAATAGATGCTTTAAATTACAGTGTTTAGAGGTGTCTGCCTGCGTTCAAACGATGTCTTCTCCCCCCTCTCTCTCTCTCTTACTATCTCGATCAAAACCAGAGGACATTCCAGATGTCACACAGGCTCAGATTAGAGTCAAGGCAAAGGCAGAAAAACAACAGGAGGGGAAGGATAGAAAGGGAGTGAAAGACTGTTAACCGAGGAGGAGGGGACACTGAATGAGCCAGGTGAGATGGGAACCAACCCTAGTGTGTGTGTGTGTGTGGTAGTGGGATGAGG